GGGCCCCCCAGCCGGTGGCTCCAGGGCAATTCCTTGTCTGAACTGCAGTCTCTAGCGCCTGCGCCCGCGAGCTGCACGCGGAAGATTTTTCGCGCTCCTGAGCCCTTTGGTTGCGAACCTGGGAGCGTCCGAACTTTCTCTTGCTGACGACGGGCTCAGTGCGCACGCGCGGTGCTGGGGTCGCTGAATACAGATCAGGGCTGAGACCTTTGAGTGCAAGATGATGATACCTAGTCGCTCAGTTCTTGGAGCGGTGCATAACCTCCCGCTGTGGTGCGGTTGGCGGACAGTGAAGTCTCCACACCTTGGAGAACTGCGCAATGTGGGAGGTGCCACAGAGGCCGGGACCCCGGAGCTGCACCGCGTAGAGGCCCGCAGACAAAAGTGGACTGCGTGCAGTGGTCTTGAGATCTTAAGGTGGGGTGGGGTAGAGGGAAAACCCTATGGAGGCCTGGGATGAGGAAGGGGAGAGTTTGTGGACTCGTAGATATTTCACTGGACCAAGACGAAATGCAAGTGAGAGAGGCATTCGCTACTGGTTAAAAATGTATGGATTCGCCGGGCAGTGGAGGCGCACGCCTTTAGTCCCAGCACTCGGGAGGCAGAGGCAGGCGGATCTCTGTGAGTTCGAGACCAGCCTGGTCTACAAGAGCTAGTTCCAGGACAGCCTCCAAAGCCACAGGGAAACCCTGGCTCGAAAAACAAACAAACAAAGATATGGGCTCAGTCGGGTGTAGTGGAGCAAACCTTTATTCTCAGCACTTGGGAGGCATAGGTAGGCTATCTCTGAGTTCGAGGACAGGTTGAAGTACATAGTGAGAACCTGTCTCATAAAAATAATAATAATGGTAATAATAAAAAATTTTAAAATGGGCCCACAAAACAACCTCAACATAAGTATGTTAGTTCAATATTCCTAAAAACCCTCATGAATGAGGGCAGGCAGGGGATGGGGGCTAAGGAACAAAACATCGGACTTTCAGTGCTGGAGAGATGGCTCAAGTAGTTAAGGACATTCATTACTGCCCTACAGGACCCGGCTTCAAGTCCCAGTACCCACATGACTACTAATAACTGTCTGTAACCCCAAGATCTGACACAAGACACCAATTGCAAAATACCATGCACCTAAAATAAAAATTAAACAAATTTTTAAAAAATTAAAAAAGAACAAACATCAGACTTTTAAATGCAGAATCCGCCTCTGAATTTGCAAGATGATTCTTCTTTTTACCCTAATCCCAACCCTGGAAACCTCACTTATTCAAATAAGAAGTGTGTGATACACACTTCAAATAAGTGTGTGATTCACATCACCAGGTCACCTGAGATCAGACAGATAACAGAAAAAATAAAACCAAGCAGGTAGTGGCTGGCTAGAGTTTCTGTTGCTTATCTGTTTTTTGTTTGTTTGTTTGTTTGTTTGTTTTTTGCTTTGATTTTTTTCCTCTCTAAGAAAGTTTCCATGTTTGACCCAGATATATTGGACAGTCCTTTAATCCCAGCATCCAGGAGGCAGAGGCAGGTGGATCTTTTCAAGTTCGAGGCCAACCTGGTCTAAATAGTGAGTTCCAGGATAGCCAGGGCCACATGGAAAAACCCTGTCTCAAAACAAACACACACACAAAACCAAAAACCCAACAAAATATTAATATAAAAAATTTTCAGGGGGCTGGAGAAATGGCTTACATGTTAAGAGCACTGGCTGCACTTCCATAGGTCCTGAGTTCAATTCCCAGCAACCATTTGGTGGCTCACAATCATCTATTGTGAGATCTGGTGCCCTCTTCTGGTCGGTAGTCATACATGCAGGCAGAACACTGTACACATAATAAATAAATCTAAAAAAAAGAAAAAATCCCCTATTTGTCTGGGTTCCTGAGATTTTAGCATCATTATGTTTCCACTCTCAGACATAGGCCTCACCTATACTTGGAAGTTATGAGGCAGAGCAACAATTTTTTTTCAACTCCAAAGCCAAATTTAATTTTGAACCAGGACTACAAAAAATATCCTGAATATGTATCCATGGTATGGAGTATATATTTTAATTTTCCAAAGTTTGCAAAATGAAACATATCCATTTGACAAATTTTATTTCTTTTAGTACCTCTTTGGTTACTTTCTGCAGGTAGTGGAGTTTGGTTATACAAAGATTAAGTAGGACAGTTTGTTATAATTTCCTTGGCTTGTTGCCAAGTGATCGAAAAATCTATTTTCAAACCCTTGCTAGTAACATGGCATTTCTTATGAAATGTTGAGGCTTCTATCCCATTTCCTACTGATAACTCATTAATCTCATCCTTACTTTGTGCTAGAGGCCTTTGTAGAGCCATATTGGATCTGGTATGCATTATATATAAGGGATGATTTCTAGTTTCGATTGTTTCTTATAATTAAATAAATAACAAAGACATTTCTGAATCATCTGGAATAATTTCAGTAGTTTCAATATGTAAAACAATTCTTCCTACATATTGAGAGTCAGTAACCATATAAGACATTCCTGAAAATCTAATAATATATGAGAATAGCATATAATTCTGACTTTTTAATGAAAGTGGCTTCGAGCCACTTTGTTTAAATCTCCTTGCTTATAACCCTTTTCTGATTTATTTGCATCAGTATAGCATATAGGTGCTCCAGAATTTGGTGCTCCCCAAACAATGTGAGAAAGGATCCAGTTAGCTCTCTTTATAAAATGAATTCTCTTGCTTTGGGGATATTTGTTGTTAATCTCTCACCCAAAATTACTGCAAGCAGAGCAACAATTTGAGTGAGGTTAACTCCGCCTTGAACAAGTTAGAGAAAAGGGAAGTAGGCATGTCCTTTTTTAAAATCCAGCCCTGAGGCCCAAGAAGACTTGAGTTTTCTTGACAGTGGCCTCTTCATTAGTGCAGAAATTCCAAACTCCAGGGTGTCGCAGTGTGAACTTTGCTGCACTTGCTCATGAGGACTCAGGTTCCTTTCCATGCCCCAGAGTACTTCCTTCTCCTTCCTTTTGGACCCCGGCTTAACGGCATCAAGGAATGAGTGTCCTCCAGGCTGACAAGAGTAAGCTCTTTTTAAAAATTGTTATTATTTTACATATATGACTATTTTGTCCACATGTATGTCTGTGTACCACATATACCCAGGAAAGGGCGTGGGATCTGCGGGAACTGGGATATAGATGGTGATGATGTACGTGCTGGAAATTGAACCCTGGTCCTCTGGAAGAGCAGCCAGTGCTCTAAGCCACTGAGCAATCTCTCCTGAGATTAACCATTTTAAGCCAAATTTAAACTTCCTCTTACTTCCTACTTCTCTTTTTCTGGAGCATATTTGCCCCTGCTGTGAGGGCAGAAATGAGGAGCTGTCTCCTCTTTCCCAGCCTGATCCTCTCAGTCGGGACTCTGGAGCCCAGAGTCAACACAAAAAAAAAAAAAAGAAAAAAAAAAAGAGTAGTTAATTAGACAAAGCTGAACTCCCCAAGGGTTGTTTTTGGAGGGGGGGAGTTTCGAGACAAGGTTTCTCTGTGTAGCTTTGGAGCCTATCCTGGCACTCACCCTTGAGACCAGGCTGGCCTCGAACTCACAGAGATCCGCCTGCCTCTGCCTCCCGAGTGCTGGGATTAATGCGCCACCAACGCTCGGCTACTCCCCAAAGGTTTTCTGTTTGTAGAGGGTTTCTTTTGGGGGGAGATGGGGAGTGTCTTGAGACAGTTTTGATGTGGCCCTGGCTGGCTTAAAATTCAGTATATAAGGCAGGCTATCCTTGAATTCAAGTAATCAATCCTCTTACTTCTGTCTTCCAAATTCAGGGATTACAGGTAAATGACACCCTGGAGGCTGAAACAGGAAGATAACCATGAGTTCAAAGCCAATTTGGCTACATAGAGAATGCCAGGCCACCTAGACTCATAATAAGACCCTGTCTAAAAAACAAAAGACCAAAACAAACAGAAAAAGAAATGAGGGCCAGTGAAATGGCTCAGTAAATAAAAGTACATGCTGCTGAGCCCAAGTGGGATTCACAGAACCTGCATAGTGGAAAAGACTGACTCCAACAGGCTGTTTTCTGACCCATGTAGTTGTGCTAAGGCATACTCATGCCCACATTACACACACACACACACACACACACACACACACACACACACACACTATGTAATCAAAATGAATGAACAAAAATTAAAAATCAGTAGATAACCTCAAAATAATTATCCCCCTTAAAAAAATTACACTTGAACATACACAGAGAGAACTTGTGGAAAGAAGGAATGAAAGACATGGATTACCTCCCCCCCCCAAATTAGGACAATTTCCTTGGCTTCTATAAAAGCACAAGAAATGCTCTAAAGTATGCTGGCAAGGAAAGAAGCAGGCTACTTAGAAATGAGTGAGCTAATGGTACAAAATCCCCCAGTACTCGGGAATTTGTACTAGCAGGTTTCTGTGGGTTCAAGGACAGCCTGGTTTATATAGACAGAGCTACACATTGAGACCCTGACTTGAAAAAAGTAAACAGACAAAATAGCACAGAATCCCAAGCAACATAGAGAAAGGCTTAGCAATGCTGGGATCAAATGGAAATTCAAGTCCTACCCATAAGACAGAAAGGGCCCTGGGTGGAGGTGTGACTGGCCTGGAGGAG